CATATAAAAGGGGAAAAAAAAGAAAAAAAAATCATCACATCTCATTTTCCAAAGGATTTTATTTCTTGGGCCATAAGAATGACATTTACCCCCTCCTTTGCAAAAAAAATGTTTTTCTTCCATAAATTCCTTGCAGAATTCCGTGAGCAGGTACCAAACCTCTCCAAACATAGTGCTTTTAGGCCTGTGAGGAGAAACGGGCTCCTTTTTTTTCTGGCCTTTGCTATCTCCGCATCTAAGGTGGCTTCATGGTACCACCATGGAACCACCAGCAGATGCCAAAGTGGAGCAGCACAGCACCCGCTTTCATCCCCCGGCTCCCCTAACTCCAGACCCATCCTCATGCAGGCTCTAGCCCACGGGCACCGCACCAGGCTGCAACACAGACGGACACGGCAGAGGTTGCAGCCCATTCTCCCCAAGAATTACCATCATCTTCATCACCAGAAGCCCTTTCTCCTGCAGCTGCAGATTTCCTCCTGCACTGTGGAGGAAGCAATTGCATGGAGAGGATTCGGGAGGCCATTTGGTGTGGACACAGCCAGAGGAGCAGAGCTGCTCTACGTGCCCATTCCAACTAGCCCACGTCGTGGGCTGCAATCTAATGGAGACGTCTCTGCTGCTGGCCATCCCTGACTCCCACGGGGCATTTTCTGTGGGTTTTGGTGTTGGTAGTAGGGTGAAACAAGACAAAGACAACAACAACAACAACGACTAAAAAAATCAAATGCTACATTTCTTTTTTTTTCCTCCTTCCTCAAAGTTGCAAGAGTCAAGATAGGTCCTAATCACCACTTTTTAAAATTGACTCCTATAACAGGCAAATTGATCAAATGGGGAGAGTTTGGGCTGCTTTTGATCTTCAACCAACTGATTTTCCATTAAAAGACTATGCTTGCATTGCCCCTCAGTAGCCTGCTGAAATGTTTCATCACAAGAATCGGGAGGAAAGCTTAGGAAAAAAAGAAAAAAAAAAAGCGCTAGAATCTAGAGCACATCATAAATTCATGAAGCTTCTGAATGCTGTCAGAAACAAACACGTTTATGTAAACAAAGCTGCAAGGGTGTTGCAAGAGAATTTTTGGATAGTGCAAAAGAAATGCTAATAATTACATTGCATTTGGGACTGAAGTCCGGGCAGGCAGTCCCCAAACGTGGGAACGGGCAGACCCTTCCAGGCAGGAATTGCAGTGAATTCCCCTGCCAGGCGCGCTCGGAGCGGCACTTTAATGACTTTGCAGGACTTGGCACCAAGGGGAGGAATGGGAACACTTGGAGAAGGGCAGGTACCCGGCTGTTGTCACCCAACCCATATGTTCTCCCAGGGGACCCCTCTGCTTGTAGTGTTTGCCTGCCCGTTCTCATATGGGAACAGCCTCCTCCGACACACCAGGTGGGAAACTCCTGGCAGCAGGAAAACGAAGCATCTTCCAGTGCCAAATGAAGCATCTTCCAGTGCCATCTAGAGCAACACGCGCCTTCTGCCAGGACCTCCTCCTCCACAGGTGCTGTGGGCACCAACCTGTCCCACAGGCTCCTAAAGTGACCCATTCCACGGCTGGGAACCATCCTGGCCATTACGGACACAGGGAGCAGCTCTGGATCAGGAGCACATCCCCGATCCTCAGATCCTTCCTTGGATGTAGAGTGTTGTCCACAACCACCCTGCACTGGAGAGCCCTCTGCTCGGCTCACAGAGCCACTCTTAGATTCCTCACCACATTGAGCTGCTTTAAACACCGAGCTAATAGTGCGTGGAGCGAGAGCCCTGGAACCCCTGTCATGCTCAGTAATAAGATACAGCAAATTAACTGCACTTTATAGATTTTAATGGAACTGTTTTGGAATCCAAACCCCGAGAGATGGCATTGATCAGMTGAAGTCAGGTGTCAGGGAGCACAGCTTGGAGACCAAGCCTGACAAATTGAAGAAAATAATCAAMAATTGAAGCCCTGAGTGATGTGGACTTTTTGATTTGAAATGCACAGAGCAAACTGCAGAATCCTGGGTAGAGGATTTTCAAGTGAAAAACGCTGCACCGGGCAAGTCGCATAGTTTTCCTTCCATTCCCAGAGATTCCAACGCCGACTGCAGTGGCAATGCACAAATCCAAAGCAGCTTCACCGACTCCAGAGGAGCTGCTCTAGCTTTACACTGATGGGAAGTAAAACCAGAATATCTGAAGTGTATTATTGCTTTAATGGCACCTTGAGCAAGCAGCAGGATAATAATTCCAGCCTTCCTCCCCAGCCCTCTACGCCCCAAATCGCATCAGTTTGGACAGTCATTAGATAAAATGTGGAAATCTGCACTAATGTGGAGAAATAACCGACATTTTCAACAGCTTGTGTGATCACATTCTGCCARTCTCTTGTACTGCAGATAATACAGGTCTTTCATTTTCGTTCCTGAAGAGACTCCTCATAAAAAGTGCCTCCATATTACGGAGAGTAACACAGRGCTACATAATAAACTAAGCATCGTGTCTCTCCACCCACGCCTGGCTAGGGGCACGGGCTGAAAGCAAGTGCCCGGTCCTTGCTCACGGACAGAGCTGGGCGGCTCAGGGACCTCTTGCAGCAGCTCAAGTTGCCCCCTTGCCCAATAAGCCCCAAAATCTCCATTCCCGAGCTGGGTGCTGCAGGATGGCAGCTGGGAACGCCGGGAGGAAGGAATGGCAGGCAGGGAGGCAGCTCCGCAGGTAACTCCCGTGGGTCATTCCCGGGATACCTGTTGACAGAACCTCGGAGACGGCTCCGGCGCCGGCAACAAGGCAGGGCTGCTGCCAGGAGGAGCGTCCGGGGCTGCCGAGCGCAGGCTCCTCCGCCCACGGATGGGACAGGAGAGGGATCTCTTAATTGGACCCTCTCGGAGCTGCTCGAGGCCGGCTGGAGCTCCAGCCTCMGGACACAACCGGGGCAGCCCTGCGGATGGGCAAAATGCAGGAAGACAAGCACAGAGAAGTGGCCAGAGCCCAGCGAGACAGGCAGGGCGCTGAGCAGGACAGGGTGCCCGTCTGCACCGCCCCAGGCTGCTTCATTAACCCCCCTGGTTCCTAACCCCCTGGTTCCTATCCGCCCCTGGCCRGGGGGGCGCAGCTTTGCACAACAGATGGCTGCGGATCGCGCAAGCCGTGCTCCTCGGGCAGCACTTCTGGAAGGGGCAGATCCCAAAGCAGCGCCCAGGGCGGCTTCCCCAGACCCCTCTCCGCACACAGGCATCGCTGCAACCCACGGGATGCAGCAGGAGCGTCACGCTTGGTTACAAAACCAAAGGATGTCGTATCCTCGGCGGGATTGGAGAGGTGCAGGGCTGTGGATGGATTCGTTATTTGCAGCTCGAGCCGTCTCCAAAGTGCACGTTGCGCACGAAGCTGCTCAGCAGGCAGGGGAGAGGGACGGGCACGGCGATACCACGGGAGATTTGCTGCCACAAACTGTTACAGAGTGGGTTTCCATATGTTGAAGCACACAGAGCGCTGGAAAAGTTACACCCACAGCCCAATCTCACCATGGTAGCTACCCACACAGGAGGGGGGGAAAATATCAGAGAAAAGATTACCATTAATGTGTCAAAGGGAAAGAAAAAAAATAAGCACACGCAGGCAGGCACAGCACCGCTCCTTTGCTGCTCTGAACTCCCTCCTCAAATAAAAGCAGAGGCTCCATGGAGTAACAGGTATTACACCGGCTAGGAAAAGCTATTGCTCCCCAGGGTAGCTCTGATCCGAAGCAGTTCGAGCCCCACTCCACACACCAGGATTTCCAGTGGGAAAGTTTCCCCTCGGCTGCAATGGCTACGGAGCCGTTCGGGACAGGTAGAGCAAGGAATCCCCTTGTGCCCCGCTCCGGTTCCCAGSTGGAACCCATCCCTGCCACAACGCACTCCTTGCATCCGCAGCCTYGACAGCTGCAGCCGTCTCCCCTCTCAGGGATCCTCGGAAAATCCTCTCCCGTGGGCATACGCCTGAAGCACCACGAAGTTTCCCCCTGTCCATMCAAGGCTCCCTGCAATCACCAAACACGAGCACCGTCCCACGCAGCGGGAAAGGGGGGGCAAATACCAAAGAACCTCAGACCGCTGCACCTTGATTAATTCTTCTTAAAAACAACCCCTGCTTATTAGAAATGGCAAAGGAGGGAGCTCCCACTCGGGAGAGGAGGGAAACGTTCCAGGGGAGAAGCCCTGCAGAGACTTTCCCAGGGCTGTGCTCTGGCTCACAGCCTGGGGAGCATCAGGTCCCTGCGGAGACCCCAAGCTGCAACCCACAGGCTGCGACCCACAGGCTGCGACCCACAGGCTGCGACCCACAGGCTGCGACCCACAGGCTGCCCTGGAGTTCAGCTGCAGGAAAAACAAACGAGCGAGAAGAAAACCCCAAACACCAGAAGCCGAAGCAAAACTGAATCCCCAACAGCCGGCTTGGGGCTGGTGTTTCTCAGGCTCCTTCCCAACCGAGTGCTCCTAGGAAAACCCTTCTGAGCTCACCCAGGGCCCCGCTCCCGCTCCCTGCATGCCAAAGGAAACCCGCTCCGCTTCCAGCTGCGCCCAGGAAAAGCACCGCAAGAATTATCTGACCCAAGAGTTGGAACTTCAGGATATTTCCCCTTCTGCTTTGAGAGGGACGGGAGCTGCTGAGGAGCGAGAGGGCAGAGGGACCCCTGGGGACACCCATCCCGCTGCTCCTCTCCATGCGCGGGGGCCCAAACTTCGTCCTTTCCCCCCCAAACCCCCTGCCGGGCTCCGCGGCGCCAGGGCAGAGCCGCGCGAGCGCAGGGCTGCCCCGCGGACACGCGTGGGCAGGGGAGACGATGCAGATAGGAGGAAGGAGGACGCGCCGCACGCCCGGGGGGTCCCGCACCCACAGCCCCGACGGGTCCGAGAGGGAAAAAAAAAATCATTAAAAATAAATAAATAAATAAATAAATAAATAAATAAATAAATAACGAGTTTAGAAATGGAGCGGCGAGCGGCGCCGGGCGCGGCAACTTGCGCGTTACCTTCGCAGAGGAGCGCGAGGAGCAGCGCGGCGCCCCGGGAGAGCATCCTCCTCGATCCATGCCCGGGAGTAGTCATGGTGCTGATTTATGGGGAGCGGGGCGGTTTAACG